GAAAGAAAGAAAGAAAGAAAGAAAGAAAGAAAGAAAGAAAGAAAGAATAGAAACTTTGCAATTTTGTAGCATTAAAAGTGGCTAGCCTATGCCTCATTGGTTAATCTCAGAGACACTCCTGTTCTTTGCCAAACTGAAAGTTGTCTAGCAATATCATTCCAATGATATGCATTTTTCCCCCTAAATGTTGTACTAATATTCAGACAGAATTTTTTTAAAAATAGACTTAGATAACTATTTCATGGAATCAGTGTCCGAACCAAGACAGAGATCAACTAATTTTATAATGGACAGAATAAAAGTCAGTTTTTATTTTCAAAATGGTAGATTTTTAAAGGTTATTTGGAATCCAGATCCACATCAAAGAACTTTAATCATTAGACTCCAATTTAGAAACTAACCCAGGTGCTTTCTCTACCTTTCCTCTTTCAGGGATTATACCAAAGTGAAATTTGATGCCTCTGCCCACTGTCTGGTATAGGCAATTTTGATAAGGTGCTACAAAACAAAACTCTCTACAACTTTACCCCATTACTGTGTTTTGCTACCTACCTTTTTTCTTCCCCTATTTTTTTCCTGGCATTCTCCTTGCAGTCTTTTACACAAGTGGTCATCAAAGAAGAAAAAGAGAGTCCTAGGCTCCTGAAGAGTTGCCAAAACCACTCCTTAAAATTCTAAGTTTACATCAGATTTGATCTTTGTTCCTTGTCTACTTTGAAGGAGAAAAATGAAGTTTACAAGATAAATGTTTGTGTTTTCAGTCATAGTTTACTCTGAGCAAACCAAATCCAAAATCTCACAGGGGCTTAATAACTTAAATTATTCTAAGCCACCTGCTAAAATAGGGTTACTTTGCAAAATGGCGATAGGGTAGGGGTCATCTGTACTTTGGTGAAGGGATGGAGTTCATAGAATGGGTGATGCACCTGGGAAGGCCTATTACCAGGTCCACACTCCATGTACTACTCAAGGGGTTATAGAGAGACATGCAGTACAAATGGTCATTCATTGATGAACATATGACTAATTTAGAGACTTACTGTGTTAGATATGCCATGCATCAGGGCCCATGTTGCTTTAGGAAAGTTGCATTTAAAAAAATACACATGCAATTATTTTTGTACTTCATACTTGTTTTGCTGTGATTTTACTTTTGTGCGGCATTTTTGTGTACTGAACTTAAGAAAATTATTGGAAATCATTCCAAGTAAATGGTATGAAGATACAGGAATTTGGCAGAAGCTACGATAATGTCACAATGATACTGCATTACAAAATCTGTGGCATTTGCAGAACATGAAGATGCATGCAATGTCACTTCCCTCCATAGTGGACACTTGTGCCTGAAAAGTAGAATAGAACTGTGGGTATGATTATTAGGAAAGTGAAATTTTGATCCAACTTCCTTATTTGTTAACAAGAACAAATGGATATTCATGTAAATGCCCAGGGAGTGATGTTTTCATCTGTTATATTTTCAGAGACTGTTTTAAATTACCCAAAGGATTTATTTTCTGGCCTTCAAGTATGGACTTTGTTGTAAAGGGTATTTCCCAGCAACAAAAATCTTTTATTTCCTCCTTTGGTTAAATAATCTTTTATTGAGTTTCTTCCTCTTGCTAAGATATTGCTCAATGACTAAATGCTTCAGGCTGTTGATTAACTGCTAAGCAGTGAAAAAAAGTTGTTTAAAATTTAGAGCCCAAAGTAACTTTCAATACACATCCTAGCTACTGGCTTCATTAAAATAAACAAATGTGAACCTGAGGGCACTTATCTGAGGTGGAATTTAATGTTCTCTTTTTGTTGACTTGACTTTTTTCTTCTATTAGAAGCCTTACAAGGGGTTAAAAAACTCTTCTAGAAGTTTGGAGAAATCTCCCAGAACAGATTTGGAAGAAGATTGTGTCACATGAATTCATTTCAGAGTTCTTCATCAGCTTTAGGATGGGAGGACCATTTCTCTTATAATCTAATCACGTATCTTGGCAACACTTAATACCATCCAATATTATATACTTCTGGATTATCCCATATTAGTTAACTTCTACATAAATCTGTTGTACAACTCACTCTGGAGTGAGGTCTCATTCAATATGCTGATGACACTCAATTATATACTGTTACCCCAGGATGGTCTGGAGATGCTAAGAAAAATTTGAACTAATTCCTGGAGGTTATATGAGATTGGATGGGGAGAACCAAGCCCAGAATAAAGCCAAACAAGACAGAATTCTATGCACCTATAAACAAAATAGCTTTGTGATAACTTCAACCTGGTAATTGCTCCTGATATGGTCATGCTCCTCCTAAAGAGCTGACCCATGACTTTCATTCAATGTTGCTGATTGAACAGAAGGTGGAAACTGTAGCCTTGATGATTGGAGTGTTCATACTATAGCTTTGCTAGACTTTGGTTGGTGTGCCAGTTATGGCCCTACTTGTTAGGCCCAGCCCAAGAAGAACATAGGACATTTCAGCCAAAGTTCAGTTCTTTATTTGCTCATATTATAGTATATAGTATCTATAGACAGAATCTTGCCATACTAAACCTGTATTACTCTAATCCTAATAGATATATTTTGAAAGATTCTAGGAAATAGCTATCCAAAATATCTTCTTCTTTCTCCAGTCAGGCTCCAGATTATGCTGTCCCTTGTCTCGCTTCCCTTGGAATATGGTCCCTTCTTCCTGGGAAATTCTGCTTCACTACTATCTATTGCATCACCTCCCCCTTCGTAGACACAATCCATCATATTACCTTATGTTGGATTATTTCAAAGCACTCTACCTGATTAAAAAATAATGTGGAGGATGCAATTGGTTTGGACTGTGGTAACCAAATTGCTAGCTAGGAAATCTATTATTGCAGAGCTCTGCCCATCTTGAGGTTACCACATTGATTCCCAGTAGAC